CCGATCGGCCCTATATTTCACAAACTGCATGTGGATACATTATAGGAGTTTTTTGTGCATTTTTAACGATATCGACCCAATTCATCACGTGCTATACTGTTTAAAACTTAAAGGTTAAGAAAAAGCACCAGACATCCTTCATGATGATGATTTTCATCATTCATGGCGAAAGCACACATTATCTTCTGGTTTGAGGGCTCTAAACAGAATTTATGGGACGCAGCACGAAACTGGAAGAACGTCTAATAGTGGGCAATAAAGATAGCATATATGTGCTGAAATATCTTTTCCCTGCCATAAATGAGATAGTGCTCTGGAATTCGGAACAACGACAGGATCAGCGAATGGAGACGGAAAAACATGTGAATAAAAGAGGAAAATGCGCGATATGGGCCTGGATAGGATGCTCTTCGTTCAATCAAGAAGTAGAACTTTTCTCAGTAGTGATCTGTACCTTTACGAAAAAAAGCCTATAGGATCCAATAAGATTTTTGAAACATGAAAATCTTATAAGACTCCTGTAGGATTCCTATATGATCCAATACGAATCCTATTGGATTCTCATAAGAATCTTATAAGATTTTAATGTTCCAAAAATCGTATAGGATCCTATAGGATTTTTCCATAAGGGTAAATCACGTCTAAGCTAACCCAGTTTTTGTAGTAAACTTTGAAATAAAGTCTTTTTCTTCGCCCAACATGCCTCGGAAGTGAATGTACAAAAATGTTCCGTTGTTACGGTATTGTACACGCACTTTAACGACCAACGAGAGATATTTAGTATTAATCTTGTCTCTTTGGATGCTGTCATGCCATTCGTTTAGGGTGATTTAAAAAAAAAACGCGCAGTCGCTCCCTATGGGAGAGAGGTGTATTGGTATTTGCGGCCAAAACTAATAAGCTGAATTATCCATGATCATTTGACGGGCTACGAGAGGTTGATATTCGCATTACGTTTTTGCTTTGCGCTTGCTTCAGCCATTCCATTCCCCATTACACTGGTGGATCTGTCCACCCGTGGAATGGACCAAGGAAACTTTGTTGTATTCATTGCATTTTGAGGTCAGGTCCTAAATGTGCAATGCTGTGTAATGGGAAGTCTAGTCCTGGAAGGTAGAATATTGTCCCATATTGTGAGATTTCTATGAAACATGTGCAACATTCTCGCGCAATGTGACATTTCGTCCTAAACGTCCAATATTGTCGCACGTTGTGATATTTCGTTCCAAATTGGGCGATAATGTCTTGCTTTTAATAATATTTGCATTTAAGAAAAAAAGATGGTCGAATACACATTTGCAAAATATGGTCATTTTTGGTTGCAGTAACCACTCCCATTTCCTAAAAATGATCATCAGTCCTACCAGTGCAAGAGGTTCAGTAATTCAGCCTTCCAAAAGGCGCACTAATTCAAGTCCGTCTAAACTCACTAGTGGAGTGCAAGTCTGCAGTTCTTGATGAATGAGCATCCAGTATATTACATAACTTTTTTGTACTTTCTCCCCTCGCTCACCATAATTTCTCATAAAACAAATCGCCTTCTGCTCAGACTAATCCGATCGTGCTTCATTCGCTCAGCAAGTTTCAGGGATTCAGAAGCACCTTTTCAATACTGGAAGCACTGGAAACCTCATATGGTATATTAGAGTCCAGTTAATCAATTACAAATCAATTAATTTTTATTTTGCTTTGGGGTTAGCTATGCAGTCGATTGCCAGAGCTACAATAAAAATAAGCAAATCCCCCCACAAACGTTCAGATATCCGAGAGGCTATTCAGAGTCAATTCATGCATGGAGCATATGAAGTCCAGGGAAGAAAAGTTTACCGATTCAAAAGTAATGAACGTTGTCAAGGAGGATATATAAGCAGTTCCATAATTTTAACGAACAGACAATGACAACGAACAGACTAGTGCCATATATACTAGTGCAAGATGAAAACTCAAGTGATCCCAGTTAAATCTCATTTTCAGATTTTATCTTACGAGACATGGATGCGCGACTCCCACGTGAATCAGATATTGACCCTTGTGATTTCGTGGCATTTCTGTTTTTTTTTTCTTGGAATGGAACCTAGATGAATTAAGTGAGAAGTATACATTTGCATCAATTTCAGTTCGATCAACGTACCTTTTGAATGTGTATCTGACTTGTTCTGCCTACGTTTCGAAGAAAGGTTTCGTTCTCTTTCATAATGAATTACATATGGAATCTCTTTTTCTAAATAACTTACCTACCGCCAATTTATATTCTTTCACGATTTGTATGCAACAGAATCGCAAAACAATGGAGAGAGCATTATATGTTGATATTTGATTGAAAACTTTCGTGCGAAAGAAAATGAAGATTTGTGTCAAATACGACACAGAAAATACGTTGAATTTCACAGTGAAATGGGTTTTTAAATATCATTTATAAGCATGATAGTTGAATATATTTCAATCGAGTTATTCAGTTTTAGTAAAGCAAAGTGGACCATAATAGACCTCAAGCTCACCTCATTCATAATGGAAAGTATTGTCTTAATTTCTCGAAATTGTAATAAGTTTAACGTTGTCATGAGAGGCATGATCATCCTTTCACACAAAATTGTTTTCGATAATCTGAAAATCTTCTAGAATAATATCTAAAATGAAAGTCGGTCTCATCAGTACCGTATTCCTCAAAAGTTTTTCCTAATTTAAATGGAAATTCCATTTTTTATGGTTCTCATTGGATGGTATTCGTTTCTTAGCGAAGCAATGCTCCCAGAACGTAAAAGAGGGTCAAAACTGCCTCCTTGGTTTGCGAGCAGTAAAATAAGTATTACATGATGCTTAGGTAACGTGAGTTCACACTCGGCAGCATTCTCATGGAGCTACTCAAATCTCAGGGTTCAGTTATGCTCCGGTTGATGAGATCTTAGTTGAATTCAACTTGGGGTGGGTTCAACAAGCTTTACGTGCTTGGTTTTCACAACCATCTTTTACAGTTTTCCATTCCGAGAATATCTACCCATACTGTTTATGACTGGGTTTCGAATAGGATTGTTCCTGGAAATTGAGCGCTCGGTCATCTCTGGTCTCAAGCAAAAGGGATGAACCCCCCTCCTTTTCCCCCTCCCCACTCTTCTCTCTGTTCGTCCCTTCCCCCCGGAAGTTCGAAACTTCTCATTCTCATCTAAAAAAAAGTGGGGAGCGGAGCTCTCACCCAGTCCCCCTTTGTTCACGCTGTCGCTATCGAGCTACCAACTGGTCCATTACCTATTGGTGTTTCATCGCAAAGAACTGCATTCAGAGTTCTTTTAAAAGTAAGTCAGTAATTAAACCCGTGATCCAAGATACCTCTAGCCGTACCCAAGTGGATCCGTGCTAACGCCTTATTGCGTGCGATACGATCATTTCCAAACGATAAATATCTAAAATTATGAATGCCCTTCTGTCCTGGAATTAAAACTAACTCTCCCTCCCATATGTTGCTCACCATGATGTTACCACAACTTAGACCCACGTATTCTCTAACAGTGAAGAGCCAATTAACCGCCAGTGGTTACGTCGTTACTTCTGGGCAGACGCTATCACGGGGGAAAAAAAAATCAAACTAATAAGGGGAGACGAGTGGAGTTGTGGAATAAAGGGGAAGACCTTTAAAAATGTATTTTCCCCCTGTGTTATTATAATATATGGATAAGCCATTACCAAGTCAAATGGCCGTACTTAAAAATATTTAACCCCCTAAAGTGGGTTCTCAATCCTTTTTTGACCTAAAGAGGATAGAAGCGACAAATCCACTCGTTACATCCTTCCTTCCTCCCTACTCGTCCTCGACCCCATTTCCTCTTCTCGGACTTGGGAGCCTCCTTTCCAAATTCGATAAACTGTAGGAAAGTTGTTCTCATCTGTTTCACCTTCCTTTATATCCTCTCCTCTCCCTATTGGTTCAATTAATCTTGTCATTTGATAAAGGATTCTTGGTGTACATGTGTACAGACTAACTTGTTATTGCATAAATATGAGAATTCATGATTCAATTCATGAATTGAAAAGGTAAGTGAGCGTTCCCCGAGGGGGGGGGGGGTTAAGCTAATGGGGTCAATTCAGATATCAAATAAATATTCTGAGGCGCTCCCTCGAAGTATGCAAAACACGCCCCAAAAATTATGTTCTTCTTTGTCCATGTATGCTTCCTTAGCCGTGACAACCTTTGGAAACCTAAAATACCTGACAAGCTGGACTGCTACAAGATGAAGGAAATCGGTGGAAAAGACAGGGGTTGGGCTATAATTCTCTGTTACGAGGAGTTCGATCAGTATCTTCAACTTTCCCCTCGCAAAGGAGTGCAAAAGGACGTGGACAATCTGAAACGCGTATTCAAAGACAGAGGATTCTCCGTCAAAACATACAAAAACCTTAAATACCAGAGCATCAAGGAAGAATAGTATGAAAGTAAGTCCGTTCTGAAACCTCTTAATGTCAAGGTGCCAACCCAGAGACGACAATTGTCCTAATGTTTCCTACTTTTGAATTTATGTTGCCGTAACTCTCCTAAGTGTTATACGGGGTGTGTGGAAAGTTCTGCAACCAAATTTTTCGGAACTTTTAAAATGTTAAATGGAAGGCAATATCACGAGTTAAAATAATTTAAATATATTTATATAATAAAGAGGCTAATTAGGACACCAGAGAAAACATATTACATGAGATAAAAAACGCAGTTTCAAACCTAAAAATTATTGAAAGAAAAAATAATTTTGTTGCAGATCTTTCCACGCATTCCCAGAATTATCTTCAAGATTAATGCAATGTTGCAATGATGCTGAACAACGAAAGTGGGAAGTGATGATGAAAATAATTTCAACACTGTTAAATCAAATAGTTCATTTATCATAGCTCATACCATACATAGTTCATTTATTTCTCGCTTTATATTATAAATTCACATATACATTTATAAATAGTTCATTTCTTTTTTACGCACGCTGTATAGCTGAAACTGATTATCTACTACTCTGATTGCAGTTTCTCAATCGCCAGAACTTGAAGAGCATGAGTGCCTAATTGTCTGCTTCCTCTCTCATGGGGAAGAAGGAGGTCTCCTCTACGCTAGAAACAAAACCTTTATGGAAGAGGAACTATGGCGTCCCTTCTACGGGGACGAATGCAAGGCTCCGGTTGATAAACCAAAGCTATTCTTCATTCAGGTATAATAAACAGTGTTAGGTAACACATCGTACAAGATAAATGATATTAAATCCATACCAGGCTGCATAATCAATTGCTTCTGTCTATCGTTTAGACTCCCACAGCCTCACTTTCACCTAGAAAAAAATTAGTTTTTCTTGGCTAGAAATTTTAGTTTATTCATTTTCTATCACGCAATGCTGCATTTATTCCAAGTAGGCATGCCGAGGTGCACGTGTCGACGATGGTGTGAAGAGTAAGTTGAACAGTGACTGCCTTAGCGGTGACGAACACGACGGACTCGCACAGAATAAGGAATATCATCTTCCCACCCATGCCAACATCCTCATTGCCCACGCCGCCTACGAGGGTCAGTGCTAAGCAATTATTCCTTTATTTATCGTTCGGTTCTGGTATAACATGTATTTCTTTCATCTGGTCGGCCAGGTCATGTTGCATTCAGAAATAGGCGCGTGGAATCCTACTTCATATATACATTGTGTGAGGTCTTTGAGAAGCATTCCGAGACTCTGGACGCGTTGAGGATGCTCACCATGGTCGCAGGAATAATGGCGGACGATTTCAAGTCCAGAAGCAGTGAAATATCATGGGAAGAGAAGAAACAGATGCCGATCATTCAAAGCACGCTCACCAAAATAGCCTACCTGAAACCGAAATCAAAATCATAGCGGTGTTCCATTATAGATCCATATCAGTTACACCTAATGAGTTTAATTTATTTGGCTTCTGATTCCGTTTCATTCGAGTTACGCAAAGTTCACATGCGCACTATGATTACGGTAAGGGAAAATACATTGAAAGAGTTAAAGAGATCGCCGCTAAAATGGCGATTTACGAAAGTTAGATATTTTCTCGGAAAGGATTCTTCTACAGCAACCGTCACTCAACAAGGCGAATACTGCTAACTTCTTCCAACAACTAGATAGCGTGTCCATTTCAGGGGTGAGCCATACAATCGAACGCAAAAACTTATGATTTGTAAATCCCGATTTCAAAGTATAGAGGCCAGAGAGAAAGCGAAAATATATATCATTGCACGCTAACTTCACGTTGGATTAAACCAGCGGTACCTTTAGGCCATGGAGAAATGCACTCTGTGGCAAAGCAGTTGCAACATTCCTCTGATGAAGGTTATTGTACAAATAAATATACGCACGTACGATAATGTTAATTCCAGGAATTATTTGATTTCTCAAAAATTCCGTGTAAAATGTAACAGATTTTGTAACAGATTTATTTTTTGGCGATTTTATTGTAAGTCGCAAAAGCCTTTGTGAATCGGAGATACCGGAAAAGATGGACGGCTACAGGATTAAGGAAGTGGGAGACAATATACGGGGATGGGCACTCATATTCTACCACGAAAATTTCGACGTGAACCTCAATCTTCGTCCTCTGGATGGAGTGGAAAATGATGTGGAGAATTTGAGACGCGTCTTCAGAGACAGAGGAGTCCTCGTCAAGGCCTACAAAGACTTCAGCTACGAAAGCATGAAACAAGAATTGAGAAAAAGTAAGTCTGTTCATGGAACAGATTTAGCTTTTCTCCTTACGCCATTTCAAGCTTCTTTGGCAATAGAAGGGCTTCGTTTTTATTGCCTCATTGACGAAATATCATTGCATTCGACTCTTCCCTACTGTAAGTTGTACCTCAGTAAGGTATTACTTTTTTATTACGGTATCAGTACGGTATCAGTAAGGTATTACGTATTTCGTTTAGTGTAACAGTCAGAGACTTAATAGACGTCCGCGACGGTTTCAAGAACAAATTCAAAAAAATGCTTCATGGGAGAACACAGTTTCATGAGTGCAATCTACAAAAGATACATTGGTTACACGATAGATGATGAACATTTACAAGGTGTTGAAATGTATCTCAACTTTTTTTTGCAGCATCCATGCCGAAGTAGTGCAATGCCCATTTAGAGGTGAATTAAAAGCGCTTAGAGATGGATCATTCCCCCTTAGGTAATGACCTATGCGCAAGTGTCTCAGAATTCAATGAAATTCTGTAAACGGTCAGATTATTTTGAGAATAGTCAGCAGACAAAAAACATGTCTGTACATCGAACAGAGGCCAGGGAAAGTGAGTTTTAATTTGATTGGGTTGGAGGTTAGGGGTTGGGGACACAAAAAGGAGAACCCACCAATAGATGCAAACTGAATACGTGGTTTTTAAATATATTTTTCAAAAAATCAGTAGTATCTGAGAGGATTTGATCTTATGCAGTATATAGCTGACCGTGAGAAAATATGGGCTGCGGCAGCAAGAGACCAGTCATGTGAAATGTTCGTCCCTGAGCTCTGTCGATGAACATACCATAAGCCAACGAATCGGGAATCGTCTTCGGCACATATCAAAGGGAAAACTGGGATCGGTCACTATGTCATACGACATTCGTATCAGTCATTGCTAGTGTCCGTGCCTCGCACGGTACTGATTTCGACATTGATGATGCGATCTTTTATATCTCAAAGATCCAATCGAGTGCAATTGCAACTGCCGTTATCAAAAGACAGGTTGCGAAGAACCATGACAGTGGCACTGACTTTATGATCGAGATTAGGAGGCGGTAAACCGAATGTGTTCAACGAATCGAGGAAATCGACGGAAAAGTTGACCTGTTGTCGATCATCATCTTCACCTTTACACTCAGTGCTCCCGTATGTTCTCGATGCACTATCTAACGAGACAGAACATCTTCGTTCACCAAACAGAAAAGAAGAACATCGTTTTAAGGGGCGTGTTTTGCATACTTCGAGGGAGCGCCTCAGAATATTTATTTGATACCTGAATTGACCCCATTAGCTTAACCCCCCTCCCCCTCGGGGAACGCTCACTTACCTTTTCAATTCATAAATTAAATCATGAATTCTTATATTTATGCAATAACAAGTTAGTCTGTACACATGTACACCAAGAATCGTTCATGAGAGTGCTGCCGAGTGTTAACTCACATTACCTAAGCATCATGTAATACTTATTTTACTGCTCGCAAACCAAGGAGGCAGTTTTGACCCTCTTTTACGTTCTGGGAGCACTGCTTCTCTCAGAAACGACTACCATCCAATGAAAACCATAAAAAATGGAATTTCCATTTAAATTAGGAAAAACTTCTGAGGAATACGGTACTGATGAGACCGACTATCATTTTAGATATTATCCTAGAAGATTTTCAGATTATCGAAAAAAATTTTGTGTGAAAGGATGATCATGCCTCTCATGACAACGTTAAACTTATTACAACTTCGAGAAATAAAGACAATACTTTCCATTATGAATGAGGTGAGCTTGAGGTCTATTATGGTCCACTTTGCTTTACTAAAACTGAATAACTCGATTGAAATATATTCAAGTATCATGCTTATAAAGGATATTTAAAAACCCATTTCACTGTGAAATTCAACGTATTTTCTGTGTCGTATTTGACACAAATCTTCATTTTCTTTCGCACGAAAGTTTTCAATCAAATATCAACATATAATGCTCTCTCCATTGTTTTGCGATTCTCTTGCATACAAATCGTGAAAGAATATAAATTGGCGGTAGGTAAGTTATTTAGAAAAAGAGATTCCATATGTAATTCATTATGAAAGGGAACGAAACCTTTCTTCGAAACGTAGGCAGAACAAGTCAGATACACATTCAAAAGGTACGTTGATCGAACTGAAATTGATGCAAATGTATACTTCTCACTTAATACATCTTGGTTCCCTTCCAAGAAAAAAAAACAGAAATGCCACGAAATCACAAGGGTCAATATCTGATCCACGTGGGACTCGCGCATCCATGTCTCGTAAGATAAAATCTGAAAATGAGATTCACCTGGGATCACTTGAGTTTTCATCTTGCCTTTTCCCTCCTAGTTTTGACAAGGCCCCTGTAGCCCTTGTAGCCCCTATCAAGTATCAAGTAGCCCTTGTGATTTCCCAAAATCTTTATAGAGTGCGTATCACAGAATGAGATGAAGTTAAAATTTTGTCAAAGCATTTTACCTCGCATCGGTCTCGTCTGAGACAGTTGTTGATTCGATTGCTTGATTCTCGGAAAAACTTTTCCTGTATTGTCATATTTTCATGGGAGAAGAGATGTCTCAATGTAAAATTTCGCTCTATAATAACGCAGACTACAGGGTGCCTCAGATAGGTCCGCCTCCTGTCCCAAGGGAAATCTATGATGACGAGAATGAAACCAATATACTGTATATTTAGAAATCGAATGCGAATTCTCATGACATGTCTCATGATTGTGAAAAAAGAGATTTGTTTATCTATTTTTTGATAATTTTCCTTGAACCTGGTCTTTTTTCTTTACTGAATGGGACGCAGAGATTACATTCATATTGCCCCATATGATTTTTTCAGTTGAACTGCCCGCTACCCAGACTATTAAAATGACCGAGTTTCCATAGAAGAAATTATCAAACCACAGAAAGTCATCGAACGAGGACACTTAAATTTATGTGGAATGGGGCACCAAAATCATGTTCATTATCAATCATTTTATTTTACATCGGGAATTTAAAGCTAGATAATATGTAGTTATTTGTATGTACATAACGGTCGTTGTTCTACAAGGTCACTGGCATGCAATGTAGAAACGGAACGAGCAGTTGGAATTGAGTGGAATACCATACAAGAGTCATTTACTATAGGAAAATATATTGGAGCAAAGGAGCATAAGTACGCAGCAGGAATATATGGATATATCTTCATATCCATGTTCTCCGAAAAAATGATGAACTTTTACGCGAAAACCCACAACAGCACATCAGTTTTCAGTCCCGGTTTTGGAAAACCCACGATAGGACTTATTATACATTGCGATATTTTACTTCAGGGTGAATTAGGTCCTCCAACCTGGCAACCTCCCGACCGAGTCATCGGTCTAAGCACCGAGTTGTCAACATTAACCTGGTACGTAGTATGTCTCTTCAAGACCATCTGTCCCATTAGCAGGATGCTAGTCGGAAAATGCTCTCGTTTTGCTACCTTCAAAGTTGATGACCCTGAGCACGTGGTAGCCTGGGACTTCGATGCTGGCGAAGACGATATGCAACGCTATGCTTCTTGGGACTATAACGATTATATGAAATATGTAATAAATAAAACGGTTTCAGAACTTTTTCTGCACAAGACATCCGTTTTTCGGGTAACTAATACAAAGACGACATTTTATTTCGCATCCTATTTTATTGTATCATTACAATTGAAATTCCACAAAGAATCTAGGTATGAAGAATTTCATTTTAAAAAAAACTGAATACATTCATGGGAAAGCCACTGAGCTCTTAGACAATGAAATAAAATTGCGCTAGTGTTTCGCTTTTGGTGTGAGGTATAGTTCTCTGGTAAGCGTGCTTCGAATAGTTGGCATTTGCTTCTTGTTATCCCAGACTGCATCTGTATTCGAGGACTTGAACTCGAAGGCAATTATCTGCGCAACTATGGTAAGTATCTTGATTAAGTCTAGAGTTCCAGAATGCTTTTCGAAGACTTCACACAAGGTGTAGATGAAGTAGGACCCTAGGTGACTGCTTTTCCATGCGACATGCCCTGTGGAAGGAAATTTCTGTCATTTAACCAATTTAACAATGAAGAAAAGAAGAAACTCGGGACACTGACCTTCGTAGGTGGCGTGAGCAATGAGGATGTTGCCATGAGTGGGGAGGTGATATTCTTCCTCGTGCCGCTGATGACCGTCGTGGGTGTCGCCTCTCGAGTGACCGGCTATTCTCACCATTGTCTTCACTCCTTCGTCGAGAACTTCCCCTCTACATGCCTATTTGGATGAAATGCAGCATCGAATCGAAATTAACGAATAACACACGGAGAGGTACAGTATTAGTCTGGATGCAGGCACACAACGTTAACATTTTCAGGGAAGGAGGAAGGATTGGAAGTTATTTGTGCCATAGTATCAACTATTTATGCGGACTTGTATGGATTCATAGGCAGTCTACCATATACTATGTTAAACAATGCAGACTGTCGTACCTGAATGAAGAATAGCTTTGGTTTATCAACGAGAGCTTTGCATTTATCTCGTAGAATGGCCTCCACAGTTCCTCCTCGTCGAAGCGCACATTGTTGGCAAAGAGGTGGCCTCCATCTTGTCCATGAGAGAGTAAGCAAACAATGAGGCAATCGTGGTCCTTGAGGTCTTGGGAACGAGCAGCTGCAAACATATTGGGAAAGTCACGATTTCCATTGGCATCTTGTTCGTGGAGCAAATGGATATAAAGCATGTAGCAGGCTTTTTCAAAAACCTCTGGAGGCCAATTTTCGACTGCCTTTTTCCGTTTTCTTTACTACTGTTTTTGACAGAATCTGATCCAGAAATGACTTCAATGTTTCCAATGGAACATGTGGGAGGATTTCTGTGAATGAAGAGTTCAACTCAGTCCCTCTGTCGTAAGATGACTAGTCGAAGACCATGTATGTACGAGGTTTGTAGACAATGACCTTCGACTTTGACCACCAGATGGTGACTACTAGAGTAAATGTGCTCCTCGATTAAAGAGGAGCATGATCGAACGCACTTGGGAACTCTTCCCAAGGCTCTTCCCATGCCCAACGTATGGTCCATAGGGCGAGGCTGGGAGTTCGTTCCTTGAAAGGGAAAATTAGTTCAAATTATTACAATTAGTTTTCAAATTAGAACAATTAGTTATGTTGTACACCGTACAAAAGTCGTTTTTGAGGAAAGGATGCCGATGTGAATATGTTCTATAGAGATTCTATTGAATGATCTTGTAGAATTTTTGATTGAAAAGGTTATGGAACCCCCCTATACGGGATTTCCATGAGATTTCCAACGAAGTTTTCATTAGGTTTCCATAAGGTTCCTATGAGTTTAGTATGCAATAATTTCTATAAATGTATAGAATTCTAGGAAGCTTCTATAGAATCCTATAGAAAATTACTGGCAGGAATCCATGCGAAAGACCCTATAGGGTCCAATGGAATACTTTATGGAATCCTAAAGAAAATTCCATAAAATCTTGTATAAAGATGCAGATGGGACGCTGCATAAGAAGTTTGCACGGAATCTCATAGAATCTCATAGAAAGACACCGTTGAATGCATAGAATATAAAATCATATCAAAACCCCTCTATTAGAGGAGTAGACAACTCTCTAAAAAGGGTACGCAATATTTTAGAAGGTGCTCAGAACTTAATGCGCAATTAAAGAAGAAATACTACGGTGCATAAAATATTTTGAAATTCACATGGAAATCCTACTGAATATATATGTTATCGCTCCCAGTAATACAGTATATAACAGGATTACAGGTTGGTGTAATAAAATACATGGAAATCTGCTCATGCAATACACCATATGAATGGTAATTATTTCAGAAATATGGTGGCATGGTTCAGACACATGGCAATAAGAGGCTATTAGGAGACTGAACGTTTCATTTCCCTTTTCCACAGGAAGTTTCTGTAGAAGACTTGATAGAGCTCCTCTGATATTCATGAATTTCCAAAAGACTTACCAATTTTAAGAGGTATTCATAGAGGTTACCTATCTCTTTTTTTACAGCAGAGAAATCATATATACCATTTCATCTCAATTGTCAAAATATGGGTCAATACATGAAAAGAGAAGTTCCATGCACATTATGATATCTTGTTTTAAGGTCATGGGTTCATGTATTGCATTGAAATATATGCAATCCATATCAAGTGAGGCTAAAAGCATTGGACATCCCAGGTCCCGTGTTTTTCTATTGATTGCATCCCATTTACTGAGGGGAAGCGGGAATCATCTTAACCTCTAATTCAGTCACTGATTTTCGCAAGTGTAGTTGTTCACTGGTTGCAACCAGTGGAAAATCACTGTACCACAGGCATTCATGTTCTCTGATTTGAGTAAAGCTATTGCATAAGACCATTGCAAGATCCAGAAAATGCCCCAGTAGCATATAACATTGAATTAACATTTATTCAGCGTTGGTTCAACGTCCGCATGTTGGATCAACATTGAGTCAATATTGTTTCAATTTTATATGTTACTTCATTCTCATCACGGGTGATGGGAATGAAGAACACCTCTCAGTAGAGCTGAGATAAAATGTGAGCTTCAATCTGAAGTCAAGAGTTGAAAACTGGTGCTGTACATTAGTCTCAAAGCAGTTATCTTGACTGTAGAGAGATGGCGCCTGTGCATTCCCAACTCACACTAACTGCAGGAGGATCAAATGTCAATATTTTTACAACGTTAAAACAAATTCTAAGAGCGAAAATCGAGGGCGTTTGAATGATGCATCACAAAGGAATTATGGTTCAAAGTGTGAAAAGTCATCTGGATCAGGTCAAATGCCAACTACAAAAAATATGTAAAATGTGTTTCACATATGCAAAACAAATACGAATCGAATGAGCTGTCAATGATTAAAATCGGTTAAGAAACCCGGGAGGAGTTCACTGGACAAATTCCGGTCATGCATTTACCTGCAGGTCGTTATGTATGTAGGCATGTAGGAAGATACTTCTTGACTAGGTCAGGTTTATCAGAAACGGACTTACTTTCATTTAATACTCGCTTGATGATTTCGAATTTGAGGTCCTTGTAGGCCTTGACGAGGAATCCCCTGTCTCTGAAGACGCGTCTCAAATTCTCCACATCATTTTCCACTCCATCCCGACGAGGAAGATCGAGGTTCACGTCGAAATCTTCGTGGTAGAATACGAGAACCCACCCCCGGACACTTGCTCCAACTTCCTTCATCGGGTAACAGTCCAGCTTATCCGGAACGTTCGGTTTCCAGACGTCGCTACGGTCAAACCCAACAAAATTAAAGAGACAAGGATATTTATTTCGTAGTCGTTTCTAAAGAAGTGTGTATCGAGTCGGAGCCTGTCTGAGAATTTTTTTGAGATTCTTTTACTATCCAGTTCCCTTTTGACTGTTCCTAGCTTTGTTGTATCCCGGATGAATGAGGCAATATAGTGTTATGGTCCTACGGTTGTCGTAGTCCAATGTGCCAGTATTAATCCCGCGGGATTAACATGGAGCATCCGATACATCGATTTAATAGCGCACCTTGCACCCACGGGATAGTGGGTGTCAGCCTCAGTGAACCTTCCTTGGTTGAATGCTGGTGTCGGAGGTACGGGTGGAAACAAGATCAATAGAAACTCGGGGACAATGCGATCAACATGTATTTCTGGTCGGATATTAATAAGCTTAATCTACAAGTAGCACCGGGCCTCCGTCGAACGGATCCAGGGATGTGGCGCATAAGGAAACGGTCGGGGAAGGGATTCGCTGTCGTTTCTCCGCCTGAACGGTTGGCATGACCTTAATCTCCACCAGGACTAATCCGGATGGATCTTGGGTCAGTTCCCTGAAGGTTCTTTAAATCCCACTCACGGAACCATTCCGGCCCACGCTGGAGGTCGATTCCCAAGATGCTCGAGGGGATGAAAAAGGCCAGTGGTTTCCAAATACTCGAGGTTTATAAAAACCTACCAGAAGAGTCAAAACAGGTCGAAGGTACCGCCTTGGACAGCTCACTTCCTGAGTGTCCTCTCGTAGGCAATCTCCCCCAAGGAATATGATGCCATCTTAGACAGGGCTTGATAACCTTATAAACCCAGGGCCGAGACTCTTACATTTATTCTCCAACTACTAGCCCGGGGTCAATAAAAGGCTTCCCTGACTATTTTTTGTCGAGTTAGGTGCTTAATTTTTAAACTCATATACGCCTTTTATTTACAAGCACTGGGGCCCACCCGTGACATCTAGCGATGGGGGCTGTAAGTATAGGTCCGGGGTCAACCCCCCCCCACCCTCCCCAATGGGATAGCATTCCTTTACTATCTTTCTGCGACATAAGCTCTCTACGGAAATTTACCAAACTAGACTACACCCGCGTGCCGCGGGATCCGCTTCGCCGGTAACAACGTTTAAACAGACATCAAGAATTCAGGTTCAATATGCAATTAGCATTAAGAGAAAATAAATCAGTGAAAGGATAACGTTCGAATTTCAAAGTGCCACGCTTTGGATCAGCCTTATGATCAATGATAGGGGTTGCTTTACGTCATCAGGGAACCCTCAACTGGATGTATGCAAATTCTCATCCATATACGCCTTGTTTCACTCAAGTGAGGCATGCTGTTGAAATTTGGAACACCCGGGAATTGGATAAGGTATGGTTTTGAGTCGAATTCGAAAAAGTGAGCCAGTGCAGACCTCCGGCGGGCAGGCAGGCAGACAGACAGAGGACGTCAGCTATATAGCCGATCGCACTCGTGTGACATAAATAATTCCGGGTTGGGATGACTTCCGAAGTGGACTACCCAGAGAATGCCGCAAGGGATATATCTGAAGAAAATTCTGCATGAATAGATTATAGTGATAGATGTTTCAACTGGGACAATTGATGTAAAAGTGTCATATTAATGTGTTATTATAATGGTTACGTTTTACTTGGACATTCAAGAACAGGGATGTTCGTCGTCCCGCCTTGGCCATTGCGTCTGCTTGCTATGCTATGTCCTTCCCAGCCATGGGCAATGGGCAATGGGCAATGGGCATTGTACTCGAGTCAGGTTTTCTTCAGTCTTTCGTTGTCCTGGTGAGGCCCTTCATCGCGTTGGCACGGTCATTAGACCTCAATTCTTTTCCCTCCGGTTCGGTCAAAGTTCAAAGAGTGAGAACGTCAACCTCTAAATTATGTTTCTTTATTCAGGAACCGCTTGGAATTTTCATAACATAGCACAATACCATGGAATATTGACATTGAAAGTTACCTGATACCACCTGGATTTCCTTCTAGCTTTTCACTTCCTTGGGAAAGAGACGAGGGCTCATTGCTCTCGAAAGTCCAGCAGATTCCCAATTGTGTGCGTGAGATGAATATCTCAAAGAGGGCTGGATTTACATTAACGGATTAGCAGATGCATCATACCTCGTATCGGGCTCATCGGCGACGATTGTTGAGCCAGGACACGTTTGACTGAAGAAAACCTGACTCGAGTATAGTCTTATAGGTCTCCTGACCTATAGGATTCAGGGAGGATATTTTGGGTTTGGAAACCCAGGCATTACGACGGAAAAGGCGACCGGGGATAATATTGGCGCAGCATTTCGGTGTAAATCAAAGAACCGATTAGGGGTTTTTCCATGGCAGGGATACATCCATTATTAATACCAGTACTGCGGGGGTCTGCATAATTAATGGGCCCGCCCCACATGTGTCGCAGGTTTCCACATCTACTTCCTTCTGTAGGAAGAAGTGGCATTCTCCTCTCGACCTAAGGAAATAGAAGACAGAACCTGCGAGAACGTCTCTTTACTGAAACTCCATTTGGATAGAGTCTACATAGTTTCGTACGTGGTCTTCAAAAGGAATAAGGGCATACTTCTTCACGGGACTCCTTGATTATATCTGGAAGATGGGGATGACAAATAAGGAACTGTCATGAAAAGACACATATGGCAAGCGCTTGGCTTGGGACTGATGATGTCATCGATAACGGGTTCTATTGTGGCTCAAGGCGTCTTACCTATCCACCGCTATGTTGTCCAAACCAGTGGGTTAGATGCCGTAGACGGACCTGCTTCATTTGGCTATAGTTTACGTAAAGTTGGCAACACCTATACGGGGCCTTCGATTAAAGTGCGCCGAGGGGGAGATAATGCCGAAGGTAATGTCGCCTTTGATAGTCTAGGTATTGTCAGTGCGAATAGCCTAGTAACGATTACTGCCAGTGGTACGAGTGGTTTGGCGGTTGGGCAAGTTCTATCCTATTCTGCATTTAAAGGCGCACAGACAGTTTTTGTCACAACATGGTATGACCAAGGACCTACTCATTATCAGGCTGTACAAACTAATACTAGTCAACAGCCTACTTTGGAGCTAAATAGTGCGGCAAGCAATACCAAGCCGTCGATTTTATTTTCAGGAGGGAAGTTTTTCGTCATTAATCAACCGATTGAAAATATTCTTGCAAATGGTATTTCTGGCTCGTTTTTGGTGGTAATTAAGCCCACACAAAATATTGCACAAGAATCGTTCGGTCATTGGAAGACGACTTGGCAAGCCACAAATCACTGGCGTTGGTCTTTCCATGTGAACTGGAGTGACGGATACGCCTACTTTGACGCAGCGGAATACTGCTGCGCTACCCATCGCAATTTCCTGAACGCGAGCAACATCAATCTATACAAGCAGTACAGTTTTGTTCGTGGCGCAAGCTATAAAACGGTCCGCATTAATGGTGTTCCTACGACTCTTAACAACGCACCCGCAGCATCGGTTCCTTCTACGGGAGGTGCTTTTTATATTGGTTGGGCACAAAACGCTTTGGACAATACCTTCTATGGCAATATGTCAGAAGTGTTAATGTTTCCAAGAGATTTAAGTTCCACAGAACTGAGCAATCTAGAAGCTGATCAAGTGGCGTATTGGGGTTTGTAAGGGAAGTCTCCGATGGGCTCCCATTTCAGACCAAACGTGTCATTGATGGTATGGGTCAGAGCGACCTTCCTTCAACCCAGATTTTCTATTAGAAGTAGTGGTCATTAATTTGGGCAATAGATTGATTTTATTTGGGAAGCACGGATTTATTCACTAGATGGCAAATTTTGTCGACTTGCGGCACTCGCCCCTTAGCCTACCCATCGGACAGTCGAAGGAGCTGCGTTTGAACCCCATGAGCTTCGCTCGTAAAATCGAATCAATCCGCACTTTTCTACACCAGTAATACCCTCACCACCATTTTGCGTCGCACTTTGATGGAATTGGTATGAGTCTCATCATCGATGAGCCACGTAGCTCAAAACCCTCAAAGAGGGCGCGTGATTACGTAGCTTTCCGACGTGTATACCGAATTCGGCAAGGGCTTTCTGGCCATTTGGTCACGGCTCCGCTTGCCTCTTTAACATCTTGATCTA